TCTTCCGCATGACCACTAGTATTTATTTTTTCAATTGACTGTTCATGCAGTTAGGTGTGAAGTTTCTTTGGGGGTGATGGAAACATTCTGTAGCTAGCATATAACATTGTGAATACTATATATTACAAATCATGGAATTGTAAACTATAAATGGCTGAATTTTGTAGTATATGAATTATATCTAAAAGTTACTATAAAGGTAGAATAAAAGTAAATCACTTTTTCTGATATAAGAGATTGAATTGCAAGGATAAACACATGGATTCTTAATTATTGCTAGAGATTTTAATAGCCCTTTCCTAGTAGCTGGTAGAAAAAGAAGACAACAAATTAGTTAGGTTATAGAAGCTTTGAACAGCACCCAACATTCTCCAGTTCAGCCAAAATGACATCTGTGGAACGTGCTGCAACTGAATACAGTGATAGGGAACCTTTATGCAGACAGGCCATATCTTGTTATGATGAGTATATTAAAACTACTGAATTATACACTTTTAAGTGGGTAGATTTTATGGCAAGTAAATTACACCTCAAAAGAAAATGGGGTGTACAGATGGTTCAAGTTTCTAATATCAACCCTGCTCCTCTGCTTAAGGCTAGTCATTTTATCACCCTGACAGGGATTGTGGATCGATGTGTTGACACCTTGTAAGGGCCCTGGGTCAAGCCATCTATCCTGAAAAGCTCTGGGGTTTGTGGTGTTGTCTTTCAAATTGTCCTCCCACCCCAAAAAAGCCTGCCTTAGGGTCTGTGTACCTGCAATGACCATGTCTATCTTGGAGAGTCTAGTTCTGAGCTTTGGGTCTGGTCCTGAGTCTAGGAGCCACGTGCCTTGTGGAGTACCAGGAGCTGGATGGGCAGCTGTCCCAGCTGTCTGTCCCATCCATTCCTCTGCTCTTCCCTGGCACCATCCTCTCCAGTATCTTTCCATCTTTATGATTGCTGGGCTCTTGACGCATGGACTTTCTGCCAACAGCCCTGGGCCTTGGAGAGAGGGCCTGGCCTGTAAGTCCCATGTTATGGCTTGTGTTTAGATGTCCCCCCAAAGCCTCATGTGCTTTTCAGAGGTGGCTGGATCTAGAGTGTGTGATGCTGGCATTAAGTGTGTGATGCTGGGATCAAGGGTGTGTGATTACTAAATTAGTCCACTGATTTGTTTAGTATAATTCTGGGAGTAGATAATGAGAAGGCCCTCTCTGGGTGTGAGTGCTACCCATTCTAAGGACATGTAGCCTGGATGGATATAAAGGGACAGAAAGAAGGTAGGCTGGCTAACTTTACATTTTGTTGGGCTGAACTATTTTGTTTGATTGGTTTATTTTGTGAGGATTGAACCCAGGACCTTCACACTGAGCTACATCTCCATCTCTTTTTCTTTTTCTTTTCTTTTTTGTTGTGAGGCAGAGTCTTGCTAAATTGCCCAGGTTGGGCTTGAACTTGCAATCTTTCTGCATCATCCTCCCAAGTAGGTGGGATTACAGGTGTGTGGCACCACACCTGGCTAGCTAAATTGTTTTATCCTTAGTGTTTTCAGGAACCAAAATGATAGGTCCACAGTGAGCAACACTTCTGAGAGCACAGCAGCTAATAGCCTGATGGTCCTGTTCCAGTCTTGCCCTGCACTTAAGGCATCCCTCTGAGGCAAACCTGGCTGATGGTACAACACCACCCCTATTTGGATAGTGCATTTGTGACATCAGTGAACCTTCCTTGTCATGTGTCATCCTGTACCATCCAGGTCTTAGGGCACACTGCTGGTGTTGCATACACTGTGGGGTTGACAGCTGGGGAGGTCTTACAGGTGTGAAGTAGAAGGGCATGTTGGAATCTCTGTACCTTCTATTCAATTTATCTGTGAACCTAAAACTGCTTTGAAAAATAGGATAAGAGCTTGGGATGATGCTCAATGGGAGTCTGTGGGCTGAGCATGTACAAGGTCCTGGGTTCAATCCTTAGCACCAAAGTTTTTTTAAAAACATATATACATGCTGGGCGTGGTGGCACATGCCTGTAATTCCAGCCACTCAGGAGGACTCTCAAGACCTTGTCTTTAAAGTAAAAAGGGCTGGTGGCATAGCATAGTGGTGAAGAGCTTACCTAGCATGTGCAAGGCCCTGAGGTTCCATCCCCAGTACCACAAAATGAAATGAAAACACATGCACACAGTGAACAAAAGTCCTTTTGGTTCCACATCCTCATCAACATTGGGTGTTATGAGGGTCTGGATGTTGGCCATTGTGTCTGGTGTGTGGTAGTATCTCCTTGTTTTAACTTACTTTTCACTAAAGATGTTAGACAGCTTTTAAAGTAAATAGTCCTCTGTGTTTATTTGGTGATGAAGTATTCATATCTTTTGCCTTATTTTTTATAGGGTTGTCATATGTAAAGTTGTAAGAGACCTTTATGTATTCTAGAAACAAGTCTTTTATCCACTAATGTGTTTTGCAAATATTTTCTCCCAGTTTGTGACTTGTCCTTTCATTTTCTTAATAGTATCTTTGAAGAGCAGAAAGTTTATACTTTTAGCTTTTATATTAGGTTCTGACTCATTTTTTTATACTTCAGAAGGGCCAAAAACAGTATTTTTTTTTTTTTCTGTTTTAGGCACGTGGATTCACTTGTTTCTCTGTTTGAAAGGATATCTTGATTGAAATTTCTTGGTACCTTTGGGTTCTTTTGTGAAATATCTGAATAGATCCTTTGATCAAAATGTCTCTCCCAGAGTAAATACTACACTGTCTTGATTATTATAGTTTTATAGTAGCTCTTGAAAACAATAGGAGTTTTCCAACATTACTTTTCATTTCAAAACTTATTTTGACCATTCAAGATCCTTTTTATTTCTATATAAATTTTAGAACCAGTTTGCCCATTTTTGCAGTGAGCCTTGTGGGAATTTGATTACAGTTCCAACATAGCTATAGAACTTTACACTATTGAATCTTCTGGTCTATGAATGAACACACACAAACACCTTCATTTATTTAGATTTTTGTTTAATTTCTCTCAACAGTTTATAGCTTAAGTTTTATAGCTTTCAGGTCTTGACATATTTTGTTAATTTTGTCTCTACTTCATATTGGGTCTTTTTTGGCATAGAGACTATCTTTATTTTTTAATTAAATTTTTTATTGTGATAAATACACATAATATAAACCTACCACCTTAGCCATTTTAAACATACAGTTCAGTCTATATAATTTTTCATGCTATTGTAAATGGTATTTTTGTTTAATTGCAATCTCCAAATGAATAGAAATATAAGTGACTTTTGTATACTGACCTTGTATCCTGACTTGTATTCACAGTTTTAGTTGATTTTCTGTAGAATATTTGGGGCTACTAAAGTTTAATTGTAATAATAACAGTTCTTCCTATGTATCAGACATTACTCTAAATGTGTGTTGTTAGTCAGCTTTCCATTGCTATAACATATACCTAAGATGAATCAACTTATAAAGAGAAAAGGTTCATTTTGGCTCAGAGTTTTGGAAGTTTCAGTTTATGATCTGTTGCTTTTGGGTCAATGGTGAGAGAACACATCATGGCAGAGGTGTTTGGTGGAACAAAATCACTCACCTTGTGACTGGGGAGCAAAAGAAAGGATGAGGAAGGGGTCAACTTTCCAATGTTCCCTTCAAGGGCACACCCTCAATGACCCAAAGACTTCCCACTAGGCCCCATCTCTTAAATATTCTACTGCCTCCCAGTAGCACCATCCTGGGGACTGAGACCTATCTTAACATATGGATCTTTGGGAGATATTAAGATCCAAACTGCAGCAGTGCCCTCCCTATATTGATCTTACTTTATTTGACCACACCAGCAACATTCTGAGAAAGCTGAATCTTGAGAGGCTCAGCAGCTTCCCCACAGTCTAACTCCTCCATTCCCAGACCATGGTGTGGTGATGACAGTTAGGGTTCCAAAGGTAGAATTCTCTCCTGAGCCCTTGCTCTGCACCTAGCACAGTGCTGAGACCTTCATACACATTTTCCCAATTTTTCCCCAGAGGAAGTGGTGAGGCAGGTACTGTTACTTTCCCTGGACCAGACAGCTGGTGAGCAAGGCTCCACTGTGGGAGCCTGCAGAAGAGCATGGTGGTAAGGGCTCCATTGTCACGGGCCTGCCAGAAGGGAGTCCAAGGCCTATCTACTGCCCATCTGTCTGTGGTATAGTAATCTAACTCCATTGAGCCACCTTGTGAACCAGGTAGAATCCTGTGGCTTTATAATGGGAGATTATTCAGATTTTCTGAATTTATTCAGATTTATAATGGGAGATTATTCAGATTTTCTACAGGGCTGCCCCTGTAGAAAAAAATGCCATCTGAGGGGAAAGGCCACCTGGGCAATTGAGTTTTATGAGGAAAGGGGAAGAGATGCCCATTGCCCAGTAGCTGTAAGGCGCAGGTGGCTTGCTAGGCCTATGGTGGCAGAATCATACTCTAGCATCTCTGCTTTTTGCCTATCACCCTGCAGATTACCTATCTTCCTCAACACTGGAATATTGGGTGCAGAAAGTGTTTGTCCCTTGCGCTGGTGTGAAGTTTGGAGTACTGTGGTTTTTCCCAGCCCCTCAGACTGCTCCTCTATGGCCTGTCAGTGTTCTGTCATGAGTAGTCTAAATGTGCCTGTGACAGCTGATCCCCCCAGCTGTAAGCTCCAAGGGCAGAGCTCTTTCTCTGGTACTTGAGCCTCACAGAGGAAGGAGCCTATGAGTACAGTGGTGGCTGATGTGACTGTCCTCTGAGGCTGGACACTAAGGGCCTGCCATGTCACAGACACCAGGCCTGGGTTTGAGTCATGACATCACTCTGTTCTAGCTATAGGACATGGACATGGGACATTTTCTCCTTGGGCATCAGCTTCCCAAGCGATCCCTTTCCTTCATCAGTGCTCTGGTACTGGGAATGCCTAACTGTCCCAGCTCTGTCTGATGTCACTCTTTTCATCCCCTGTCTGTTGTCACTCTTTTCATCCCCTGTCTGTTCACTTCAGTATGCCTGGGTGGAGAAGCACTTTGGTCCTGACTTTTTGGAGCAGATCGTGCTGACCAGAGACAAGACCATAATCTCTGCTGACCTCCTCATAGACGACCGGCTGGACATTATAGGCAAGTGGCCTGCAACAGGGGATGCATGGGTGAAGCAGACCTGGGGCCCCATGTCCCCTTTCCCCTGAGTGGTTACTCCCCTGCAGCTTCCTTTCTTTCTTTTTTTTTTTTGGTATCGGGTTGGACTCAGGTCCTTGTGCTTGCACAGCAGGCAGTGAAACCACTGAGCTAAATCCCCGGCCCTCCCTGCAGCTTTCTTGTCCCTGCCCATCCAGTGTGTCACCAGGTCTTGTCAGGTGTCCAGGCTGGAGCTGGCCCTGAGTCTCCTGCCAGGGAGATAAGGTCTTTTCAGCATATTGTTTGGGGTAGGAAACTACTGGGAGTCAGGAGCATTAGGCTTCACTTGCTGAGTGGCCTCCAGTGAGTCACTTCACACTTCCACAGTCTTGCCTTCTTCATGTAAAATGAAGACTTGACTCTGAACTTCAAATCTTTGCTTTTAGTAACAAACCCTCCTCCCCTTTTTTCCCTGCTCAAAAAAAGTTTGGAGTGAACCTAGCATACAACAGGAAAGCAGAGCATAGTTTCTTTGTTTCAAGGTGGTTTGAGTATTGCATTGGTCCTTACAGATGACCCCCTCCCAGAAAAACCAACCAACCAACCGGTTGTCAACCAGCCAATAAGCCAACCAATAAAAGGAGAGCCCATAACTGGGTGTGGTGGTACACCCTTGTAGTCCAGCTCTCAGGGGGCTGAGGCTGGAGGATTGCTGTAAGTTTGAGGCCAACCTGGGCCACATAGTAAGTTCAAGGCCAGCCTGAACTACATTGCGAGACTCTGTCTCAAAAACAAAACAACACTTAAAAAAAGAAGAAGAAAGGAGAGGCCATCATTTAACTGAGAGAGTGGAGTAGGAGAGCTTTAGGCTTAGTAGAATCAGTATCCGCATTCAGTTTCCTTGTCTCCTGGCTCTATTCTGTGTGGTTTTATAGCATCTGCAGGCAGCTGTCTCCTCCTGGAGTGTTCAGTAGCTTCAGGTTAGTCTATTCTTTTGGACACCCCAGTGGGAAAATACAGAATATTTCTCTACATTCTCTGTGTTCAGAGGGTGGGATTCACAGAGAGGTCCCACAGATGTGCTCAGGGCCAGGGCCAGACCCTCCCAAATCCCATAGCCTCCCAGGGAAACTCGGGGCCACAGTTGCCCATGGGGCCTGGTGGGCTCCTGTCTCCAACCACAGGAAGCAGGGAGAGGCCTGTGTGGAGGAATCCACTAGCAGTGCCAATGGGGACAGGAGGGATTGAAGCTTGAAGGGCCCAAGGAACCTGTGATCAAAGCCGGTGAGCTGCATGGCTGGTAGGACCTGGTGTTCCTGCCTGGAGCAGTGCTGGGAGGCCAGGCATGTAGCTCACCTTAGACACTCCAGCCATAGGGATGGTAGGACCACGCCATCAGAGCTAAGCACATACTATGTGCTACATCCAGTACTGGGTGTGCAGTGCCTCATCTAATCTTCACACCCCCTGAAAGGCACTGCTTTCCAGATAAGGAAATAGTCCTACCCGTGCCCCAGGCTCAGGGCCTCTGGACTGAAGTGCTGCTTTCCTGCTGCAGGGGCTGAGCCACACCCCAGCTGGGAGCACGTCCTCTTCACATCTTGTCACAACCAGCACGTGTGGCTGCCTCCTTCCCGCCACCGGCTGCACTCATGGGCGGATGACTGGAAGGCCATTCTGGACAGCAAGCGGGCCATTGTTGACTGCTGCACTGAGACTCTCCTTGACTGACTCCAGGGCTCCTGCTCAGGCCCTGTGGACCTGTGGTTCCCTCCAGATGCAATGGCCAAGACCACCTCCTGCTGCATGCCTCTACTCCAGCCCTGCCAGGCCTTAACCTGCTCTTGGGGTAGGGCTGGGCCCCTGGACACCTGGACAGAGACATATGTACCCAGGAGGTTTGGACTGACCTCAGATAGTGGCCCCAAGCTGTCAGGGGCCCTGAGGCTCATTCCAGGGAGTTGTTGAGGCCAGCAGCCCTGCCTACTCACTAGGGGGAGATCCCTGAGCTGTCGGCACCCTGGTCTCCAGGTCTGCAGCTGTCAGCAAGAAGCACCAGGAATGTGACAGCTGAGGTGCTCTCTGGTGGGCCTGAGGCCCTTGCTCTCCTGACCGCAGTACCCATCCTACTTGCCCAGCCTGTCTGGGCTCCCCAAATGACCTGTCATGTAATCAGCAAACACTGCAGCTTCCAGTCACCAGGCCATGAGCTGGGGGACAACACTGGCCCTGCCTGTGACCAGCTCCAAGTTACCTCTGCTCCATCCCTGGGCCCCAGCACAGGGCCCAACAGAGCCAACAGGGTGAGTGTTTGTTGAATGCATGAGAAATAAATGCTGTTCACTTACTGCCTCCTCTACCTTCCACCCCAAGATCCTCTGATGTAGGGCCCCCCTCAGGAACCAGGCATTTGGGGTCCTACACCCTGACAAGAAGGGGTACAGCGTGCACACACAGACACACACACCCACTGTGCCTGTGCAAGCTGTCAGTGAAGGCCAAGGCAGGATGGCCCCATGTGGCAGAGTGGGCAGCCCTGCAGTCTTCTGTGTCTACCCCCTCACCACCAGGCCCCTTCCCCACCTTTCCCAGGCCCCCCTGGCCTCTGATCCTTTCCCAGGCAAAACCAAGAGCCCTGACTTTTATTCCTTTAAGCAACTGAAAGGCCACAACCTGAACCAGCCATTTTCTTGCTGTATTCTCAAGAGGTTTGGGGGCCATTGCCCTTGAAAAGAACATGAGTCACCCACACTTCTAATTTGTCCCACCTTTGGGACCCTCCTGGCAGACCTTTTTGCCTCTTGTGACTGGAATTCCTTGGGCTACCTTGAGGGTAAGGCCAGGTAGGGAGAAGACCATGGCTCAGGGTTGGCTGAGCTTTCTGGCTTCCTGGCTTTCAGAGGATCACAAACTTGAGCTGTATCACCCCACAGTAGGGGGGAAGAGTCCTTCTGGGCTCCATTGCCCCAATTCAGAGGGGAGAGGTTCTCCTGAGCTTTGTTGCCCCAACTCAAGGAGGGAACCCCCCTCAGGACTGTCACCCCAGATTTGGGAAGAAGGTCTCTAGGCTCTGTTGCCTTAGCTTGGGGACGAAGGACTCCCCTGGGCTCTATCAACCTAGCTTAGGGATGAAAGACTTCCCCTAGGCTCCATTCCCCTGGCTTGGGGCAGAAGCCCTTTCACCAGGTCCCATTGCTCCAGCTCAGGGAAGAAAGCAACCCCCCTCCAACTTGGCCAAACAGTTCTCCGAAGCATTGCCATCACCTGCAGCACACTTTTTATCTTGCGCTGGGGGACAGCTCTAAAGGTCACTCTAATTAGGAATGTATTGGGGCTGCATCAAGAGATCCTGAAGCCATGCAATGTCCAGAGGAATCCTGTCTCCCTGACCTGGGGCCCTGGAGGAAAAGCAACCCGTGGGTTGCTGGCTCCCCAGCTGCTCCCCAGATCCTGCTGCTCTGAGAGGAGGAAACAGCTGTTAACTGAGGTCAGGAGTCCTCTGTGAGGGCCAGGAGAATGCATGACATGTAAGATGAATCAGTCACCTGCATATGACTCCTGGTGGCTGGACTTTGTTCTCTTCCTCCCTTCAGCAGCAGGGCCAGCCCTTCACCTCGACACACTTTCCCTACTTTATCCCTGCTGACTGCATGTCTGCATTTACAGGGATCCTGGAGGTGGAGGTCTGTGCCACCTCCAGCTGTGAGGGTGATGGCACCTGCCCCTGAGCTTAGCCCTCAGGGTGCTGGGGAGGCTGTGTCCTACACCTACTATGTGCTGGGCCTTGTGCTAAATCCAAGCACAAGGTGAATGAGACCCACCCAGTGCTGCCCTGAAAACACTGATGATGGTAACTGAGGAAGCAAAAAGAAACATGGCTCATTTCTACCTTGGGGCCTGTGTCATGGATGGCAGAAACAGTCCTGCTGGGGCTTCGCTAGCTCTGTCTGGGTTTCCCCTTCCTCCTTCAGAGGCGTAACCAGGCCCAGAGGTGGACTTCATGTAGAGGACCCAGTCCTCACCCTTGTTCTGGGGATCCCTGGGCAAGCTGGAGGTACAAGGCCCCTCTGTCCACACACACATCAGAAGCCACCCAAGACAGAGTGGGGCGGCCTGGCCCTGACCCCCACTCAGAGACATCCCCTCCTTGTCTCAGGCCCATTTTCTTCCTGAGTCTTGCTGCACTTGGAGCCCATGAGTCCATAAGGGGTGAGGCTGGCCCGACTTCTCTGGTCTTTCTTGCTACTGCGAGAAAGTTATGTTCTGAATCCTTCTGGAGACTGGACTCTGAAGCCTCTTCTTTAAAACCGAGTCCTTCTGCTAGTCTTAAAGCACTTTAGAAACAACCCTACAGCTGCCACATTTGTTCTCTGATAAACTGGAATCATTTGCCTTGGGGCAGGCAGCCACTGGAGCAGCATAATTAGTGTAAAGGAGCAGAAATAATTGCTAGGGTGAAGATGCTTCAGAACCAAGCCCACTAAACAGAAATCCCAGGGTGCCTGGCAGTATCGAGGATATGTGCTAGGGGGAGGCCTGGTGCTGGGGGCTGGTGGAGGGCCTAAGGCCCAGTTCCAGGAACAGCCCCTGTACAGGCTGTGCAGGTTAGGCAAGGTGAGGCGCAACTCAGCAGAGCCGGTCTGTGCTGCACACTGCCATGCATGGTCACTGCTGTCCTCAGTGACCTGGGAAGGGTAAGGTGCCCACAGCAATTGGGGACCTGCACCAGGACCCCAGAACTTCACCATCCTCTTGTCAGATTTCACCAGATTGAAATGGTCATTTTCCTCCATGCATGGGAAGTGTATGTTTTTCTTCAAATCCATGTGGTAAACCCATCTCTAGACAGGAGAGCTGAGCTTGGTTCTGTCTAGGATGAGGTCAGCTCCACCTCAGGTAAGGCCGAACACCACAGCAGGGGACGTGGCAGAGAAAAGCTGCTCCCCTCATGGCAGCTTGGAAGTACAGTGGGAAATAGCCAGTGTCTGTGTTTATGAGTTTCCTCTTTCTTCAGTTTCCCCCCTTCCTTCCTTCCTTCCTCCCTCCCTCCCTCTTTCTTTTCTTTCCTTCTTTCACAGTACAGAGCATTGAATCTAGCCTACAGAGTGAGTTGTTTTTTTTTTTTTAGTACCAGGGTTCAAACTCAGGCCCTTGTGCTTCCGAGGCAGGTGGTGGCACCACTGAGCTAAATCCCCAGCCCCAAGGATTGAATCTAAATACAATCTCAACTAAATTGCCCAGGTTGTCCTCAAACTTGTGATCCTCCTGCCTCAGTCTCCCAGACAGCTGGGATTACAAGGGTGTACTATCACACCCAGCTTTCTTCAGCTTTGGTTCCATGTAGGCCCCAGCCTATTGGGCAGTGAGTGACTCCACATTCAGGATGGGTCTATCTGCTCAGTTTGCTGTCCCACATGCCAGTCACTTCTAGAAACACCCTCACAGACACATCCAGAAGGGTGCTTTACCAGACTCCTGGGCTTTTCTCAATCTAATCAAATTGGCAGTCGAGTAACCATCACAGGGTCCTTGTCATCCTCCCCTGACCTGCTCTTCTATTCCTGTCTGTGCAGGGTGTCCTCTGTCCACTGGCTCTATGAGCTGCAGATGGGCCTTGGGAAGCTCTCTGCTGCCATTGCTACCCACTGTACCCTTGCCTTCATGGACAGACACACCTGTCCCCAGACCACACTGACCTCTCAAGGGTATGTTGTCCCTGAGCGTGGGTGTCTGGCCAGGGGCAGGCAAAGCACAGGCCACCTTCAGAAGGACCCACAAACAACTCTGCTTAGAGTCCTCTAGTCCCTAAGCCCCAAGACCCCATCTGAGGGCTGCAGCTCCATCCTTCCTGGACACAGGGTCCCAGGTTCTCCAGCTGTCAGCTCCTACCAGATGGCACTTAATGAAATCCATGAAAAATCCTTGCCCCTGGTGTGGTATGTGGTAATATATAGACGTGGTGATGTATGTCAAGGACATGTCACTACCATCCTTGCTTATATCCTTCCTCATAAAAGCCCTTGAAGCAGTCTTGTTCCTGCTCTGTGGAGGAGGCAAGCACTCAGAGACATGCTGAGACTGTCAAGGCCACACTGTTTCAGACTCACTAGGTCTTCCTCTTGGCCATGTGGCCTTTTCTTTAGACATCCACATGCAAAGACAAATACTAGTGTCCTGCAGTTGAGCCCAGAGCCCTCCTGCTAGGTCCTCATCCTCATCTTTCTGTCGGGGACCCAGGGCAGGGTTCCCTGAGATGCTGGAGGTCCCCCACCCACCACCCATGGCAGGTGAAAGCATCACACATGTAAGGAAGGTCAGTGGGCATCCTGTCCCCTCAGCAGGACAGATGGACTCATCCGCCAACTTTTTTTTTTTTTTTAGATTTTATTACATCACTTGCCCTTAAGACTATGCGTTCCATTCTGTGGGGATACCAGGTAAGCATGCCATACCCACCCTCTGTCATGGTGACTTGATCTCTGTGCTCAGGCAGCTACTCCCTAGTACAGACCCAGTGGAGGTGGTAGGAGGCATCAGCTATGCTTCTGTCATGTCCCTTCAGCATTAGACTATGTGGGCAAGTGGCAGAACCCTAGCAGAATATGCGCAGGCTCCCTTGCTGCTTCCTTGTTCCATCATAAGAGTTGCTCACTTCTTAGCCTGGGCAGATCCTTGTCACTCATCTATCTCTCCACATTAATGCCATGATCATGGACCCATCCCTGGAAAGGCCTTCCTGCTGAGTACCAGACTTCTATGTGCATTTATTAGAAAAGCATCTCAGACCTGCTAATGAGCCAGGCATGGTGATGTATTCCTATCATTCCAGCAGCAGATCACTGGAAGCTTGAGGCCAGACTGTACTACATGGTGAGACCCTGTCTCAAAGAAACCCCACTGGCAAGCAAAGCTCATGTACCTGGATATCCTGGGGATACTTTTTGTTGGGGGAACAAGTGATGTGTCCAGGGTGCTATCTGCCTCCTGATCCTTTGGAAAGTGCTGTCTTACCCTTCATCCCTCTCCTCTCTGCTTCTGGCCCTTGGCCACAGATCGCCCCAGCAGAAGGGACTGACCTTTCCAATCCAGACACAATGCTGAGCCAGCAGTTGAAGCATCAAAGAAAGGACCCAGAAGTGGGGAGTGCTTGTATCAGTGACAACCCAGGAGGAGCATCTGTAACAAGTGCTCTGGTCCACACCTTCCACTGAGGAACTGGAGGCTTGGTGAGACTGGGTGGCTGGGTCTAAAGTTGAAATAGCAGAACTAGGATCTGCACACACCACATCCAAGTCAGTGGACTGACCTGGCCTTGGGTTAGTGGGGACCCCTGTGGCAGATCCCCTGGAGGAGTTTCAGGATACATTGTATCCACAGCATTTGTGCCTAAACACCCAGGTGCACAGGTGTGGGTGGGATGTGACCTAACTGGCAGGTGAAAAGGTACCAGGGATAATAGCTGCGTATCTGGAGTGCTATAAGCTGTGTCTGCCTTGTGTGCTGGAGATGAAAAGGACCCTCAATCCTGGCTGTGTGTATGTGGTATCAAAGCTGGCAGGTGTGGAACATCACCAACAATACTTCTTTTTCCTGTGGTACTGGAAATAAACTCAAGGCCTCCTGCATGCTGGGCAGTGGCCTACCCCTGAGCTGCACCCAGCCTCATTAATGACAGCTTTAAGCCTTGGGTTTTGTGGTTTGAGTCTTATGTGGGCTGTTGGTGGTCAAGTCTCCATAATGGCATGTCCTTATTCACAGGGACACAGATGCCAGGGGATCTGGGAAGGCCTCAGGCTGCACACCCTAGTGCAGGGGCCAAAGACTCAATTGGTCACATGATGGTAGAGGAGAGGTAGAGAGGGAGAAGGAAGGAGAGGTGGATGGGAAGGGGAAAAAAGGGAAGGGGAGAGGGAGGAAGGGCCATACTTTGAAGCTGTTGCAAGAATCAACCAGCAGGTGCATGATGAAGGCTCTGGATGGGAGCAGCCACAGGCCCTGCTTCCTGGCTTGCACCCCCATGGTGGCTCTGTGATTGCAAATAGGAATGTCAGGATTATGTCCTTTACATGCTGTTACATGCCATGGTCCAGAGCTGGGGGCAGGGATGCTGATGAGAAGGCCAAGGAAGAGCTGCAGTAGGACTTGTGGGTTGCAGGTACACACACACACACACACACACACGCACACGCACACTGCACACATTCTCCAGGCTAGCCTGGTGTTTGAGAGCAGAATGGCAGTGAAGTCCCCTGTTAGTTGGGACCCGTTCCAACATCACTACAGCAGTAGCCATCTCCTAGTGCCCATTGTGTTCCTGACAGTGATGTTCCCATTTAGCCTAGGAGACAAGCCATCTCTGTATGGCTATGAAGGTTGACCCAGGGCATGGAACCAGGACTCCAGGCAGCCACACTCTGACCTGCATCCCCCACTTGGCATGGTTCTCCGATCCAGACTCTTAGGGCTCAGGTGTTCTCAATAAGGCAGGGCCTGGGATTTGGAGCTGGGCCTCCATCTGAAGGTGGGAACAGAGATACTTGGCCCACAGTAGAAACTGTGACAGGTGGAAAGCACCAGACCAGAGCTGGGCAATAGCTAGAAGCCAGGAGGGCAGGGCCCTGCCTGCTGAGGTGGCCTCAGTCATCAGCCTGAGGAAAGGGGTGTGTTATGGTTTAGATCTAAAATGTCCCCCCAAGCCCCCACCTGTGTGCGGAAGGTGATTGGGTCCTGGGGATACCACAATCATTAGTGTTCTGACTTGCTCTTTCAGCGTGTTTCCTCTGTTGGGAAGTGGGAGTTGGTCAGCCTCCACAAGAAAGGGATTGGGGTGGCCAGGGAATCTGTCCCAGAATGCTGGTGCTCTGTGAAGCAAGGTGGTGGGTGCGATAGTGGTACCCCCTTGGGAGGCAAGTAGTATCTTCTACAGGGACCTGGGGATTCTCTCCAAACCATCGTCCTGGTTTGGCCACCAGGTGGCAGCCTGGCCCCTCCAAATTGTGTCAGGGGAGGGGGACAGGCGGTACAGGCAGCTGTGGAGAAAGGAGGAAGGGCTCAATTTCTTAAGTTCCCTTCTTGCTCTTCCCCCAGGCTACTGTGGACATGGGCCCTACAGATCATGGGTGTCAGCACCCTGATGGCTTGGACCTAGCCTCTGAGCATAAGGGGCTTACCCCAGCCTGTTTGTCCAGCAGGCAATCTTCTTTCCAGCCACAAACTTTGACTTACCACCCATGAACTTTAAAGAAAAGTCATTTTGCTTCCAGGTCAGGGGTTGCACAGGTCCCAGCTAGGTCTTGTCCTGTGCATCTACACCGAGTAGTGCTGTCTGTGTTGCTGAGGATAATAAAGGAGGTAGCCTCCTCCCACCTACCCCAACCAGATGCCCTGGGACCCTTGGAGTTTCTCAGGGAGCTGCTGGTTGCTTCTATTTCCCAGGGAGCCTCCTGCATCAGCTCTTTCTCCCGAGCTTCTAGGTGACCTAGGTGGCTGCAGCCCATGCCCCACACCTCTGTAGACATGCAGGTCAGGTCAGGTTGGGAGCCACTTTTGCAGGGCTTGCATTTATCCAGAGCTGCCCAGGCCTGAGGACCAGGCTGAGGAGGACCTACGAGTTTCAGAGAAGGCCAGGCCTGAACTGTAGTCCTCAAAAACTTACCTTTTAAACCAGGTGTGGTGGTACATACCTATAATCCCAGGACTCTGGGAGGCTGAGACAGAAGGACTGCAAATTTGAGTCTAGTCTGGGCAATTTAGCAAGAACCTGTCTCAAAAATAAAAAGGGACCTGGAGATGTATGTAGCTCAGTGCAAGGACCTGGGTTCAATCTCCAGTACTGAAGAAAAAGGCTCACAGACGAAGGTCCACAGGAAGCCAGCAGTTAAAAGTCTATTTAAAATGTAGGGAGAGGCAGCAGATCTGTGATGCAAAATCCAGGGTTCTCACCCAAGTTTTTCTGCCAGCTAGGTTTTCCTCTTCAGCAAAACAGAATTGGCCATGGCGCGTTAATTGCAGGTCACACAAATAGCCACTGGATGGCGCCAGAGTCAAGCTCTAGCTCCGTGGATCCTTTGCTCCACCTTGGGAGGTCTCTTTTCATGCCCCTGGGGCCTTCAGTCAAAGTCTGGACCAGACTTGCCGCACCTTCAGGTCCCTTCCTGTTGTTCTAACCACCAGCATTCCTTTTTGTCCCCGTGTGCCTTCTGGAAGCTCCCCTGGTCAGGACATGAGGACCTCAGCTACTGCTGTTCCAGCAGACAAATGATTCACATCAGCTGTTACCTCAACTAAGTGCCATGGCTGAGTTCCAGCCTCCAGAGAAGATGGAGAGGTGGAGATCTTGGGGTGTAGTTAGGGGAGAAGCCCTCCATGGACCTAGCAGTCACGTCGAGTCTGTCTGTTGTCAGCCTGTCCCATGTGCCTTTATGAGGCCCTCTATACAAACCCAAGTTGCAATTTGGTGGCCCTCAGACATGTTCTGTTGGCTTATGGTATTTTTTTCAAGATACTTTTATGTCCTCCCATGGCAAGCTCTCAAGGGACTGGCCAAGGATGCTCTGGTGAGCAGTGGGCCAGTGAGTGGGAACTTTTGCTAAATGTCCTCCTGGGGTTTCATTCCCCATGCTCTCCAGGACCCAGCCATACTCAGATTTGTTCCACCTTCTGGCTCCCTGGTGGCACTTGAGTCCCTGACCTCTGAATAATCAGACACATCTTCTTATTCCTCATCATGCCCCCACCCCATATCCAGCCTGAGCCCCTTTCTTTCCCTCCCCACTTATCTCAGGCCTGTCCTACCTTCAAGGTTCTGTCATCCTTCAAAAAGTGCCCACAGTCTGCCTCAGCCCCAGGGACAGCTAACTATCTTCTGATGTCCTACAGTACTCATTACCTGAAGCACCAACTGCACTCAGTGTCTAAGGGAGGGGGTGACTGGCTAATGCAAAGGAAGGGAAGTCAAAAAGGGAGGAAGGGGCCCAGCACTTCCTGAGCATTTGCCAAATTCCTTAAGATGTCACTGATCTTCCCAAGTGACTATGAGGCAAGGTAAAGATAAATGCCTTTTAATTTTGTAAAAATCGATATGGAGAAAGCAGAGCCCACATTCAGCTCAACTCCCAAGCTGCAGCACAGAGCTTGACGTTCAATCAGCATCATGAGGCTGCAGACAGGAGGAAGCCCAGAGCATCCAACAAATAGAAAAGGACCAAGTGGCAGGATGACTCACACTGCAGCTTCCCCCATCATCCCCAGACCCTCAAAAGGATAGAAAGTAGGTACTTAAAATTCACAACCACAAGAGGAAGCAAGGATGCTGCCCTTAGTAAACCAGACATGTTGCCAAAGATGTACAGGTGGAAGAAGCTGGTGCTGATGGGAAGAGTGGTTGTTTCAGAGGATGGGAGCACTTCAGATCGAGGCTGGGGGTGGTCAGAGGGCCCCAACAGGATGACTGTGTTAGCTTTCTGTTACCAAGCACCTGAGATAATCAACTTAAAAACAAGGAGGATTTACTGGGACTCTTGGTTTTGGAGGTTTCATTGCTTTGGACCTGTCATGAGGCAGCACATCGTGGCAGGCATTTGTGGTGGAATAAACTGTTCATCTCATGGCTGGAACTTGAAAGAGAGAGAGGAAGAGCAGGGGCTGGAGTCCCCCTATCCCCTTTAAAGGCACACTCCCAGTGACCTAACTTCCTCCAACCAGGCCCCAGGGTTCCACTGCCTTCTGACAGCACCATGGCCAAAGACCATGCCTTTAACACATTGGGTCCCATTCCAGATCCAACCGTAGCAACATTCCAGATACCTCAGTAGGACCCTCAGGCAAACTGAACCCTCTTCCCCACTAAACATGCCAGGGTTGATGAAGAATACAGGTGTCTGTAGTTTGAGAAAGAAGGAAGGAAGAAGTATGGGTTCTTGGCCTGACAAGGCAGGCAGTGTCCCACAAGGCTGGTGACACTCAGGGAGAATGATAATCCCTCCCCAACCTGAACATTAGAATTGTAAGGGGGTACACTCTGCTATACTGTTAGGGAAGCATCTGGGAGAGGGAAACCATACTTGCAGTCTTAGTCCATTTTCTGCTGTTGTAACAGAATGCTTGAATACTTGAGGTGGGAAGATTTATAAGGAAAAGATGCCTACTGAGCTGATGGTTCTGGAGGATTGGATAATGGCAGGGCCTGAGCTGGGAGGAGGGGCAGGACTGCAGGGGATCCGAGGGG